AAAAAAAAAAAAGAAAGAAAAGAAAAGAAATCTGCTTGTGTGGGGATGGGAAGTTCCTGGCTGGCTCAGTCAGGGGAACACGCAATTCTTAACCTTGGGGTTCTAAGTTCGAGCTCCACCTTGGGTATAGAGACTGCTTAAAAATAACATCTTTAAAAAAAAAATCTGCTGGATAAATTTTATTGCCAAATATAACTGGTAAAACCTCTAAGACTGGTAAAGATGTAGTTCTAGTAATTCAAGCATTATTAAGGGCTACAATACTTTTTCCTTGATGTATCCAGTTTAAATCCCTTAAGACATTTACATAATATAACTTAATGTAAAATTTATATAATACATAATTTACAACATATAACTTCGGACATATAATCCTGAAGTAGATGTTTACCTTTTAAAAGAAATGCTGATGACAGATTCCATCACAGAAGTTTAAAAATTTCTATCTTTTGAGTAATTTTCTGTTTACCTTAGTGTATTCTGTGTCCCTTCCCACCCTTAAGAAGGAGGAAAATAGGGGGGCGCCTGGGTGGCGCAGTCGGTTAAGCGTCCGACTTCAGCCAGGTCACGATCTCGCGGTCCGTGAGTTCGAGCCCCGCGTCGGGCTCTGGGCTGATGGCTCAGAGCCTGGAGCCTGTTTCCGATTCTGTGTCTCCCTCTCTCTCTGCCCCTCCCCTGTTCATGTTCTGTCTCTCTCTGTCCCAAAAATAAATAAACGTTGAAAAAAAAAATTAAAAAAAAAAAAAAAAAAGGAGGAGGAAAATAGGGAACAGGAGAAAGAGAGTAAGTTCACATTTCATTTATATTTGTTACATACCTTTCTCAATAGTTAGGCTCCCATACTCAGAAGGGGCACACAAACACACACCCCAAAACCTTAAAATCAGATAAGCGTCCATCTTCACAAACGTGCCAAGAACGGTCTCTTTAAAATGACATAAATGTCTGAAGTTCTCTATTACCCATGCAAAAGAAAGGTGGCCTCGCACGGTCCACAGTGGAGACTGGAGGTAGGGCTTTTACTGACCACATGGGGTCTAATCTTCCCGTCAGATAGATACAGGAAAGCCTCCTCTAGGCTCCCAAAGATCTTCTCACCCATCCCTTCCTCTCCCAGTCCATGATCTAAGTAAGAAACCCCACCACCATGCCTCCCTGCTCCCAGTTAAAGACCCTGAGATCTGCCCTCTGTGATTCTGCCTCTTCCTCGGCCAGGATGTAAAAAACAGAGCCGAGGAGGTCACTCGATGTGTTCAGGATTCTGTGACAGGGTTAAGTCTGGAATCTGAGAAAGGAGAAAGCCTGACCACATAGCTCCTGCTACACAGTCTGCTAAACACAGGCAGCTAGGAACCATCATGTTCAACATGAGGAACTGAGATCACAATGCCTATCTTCCGTCTGTGGCCTGGTTCAGATGGAGGGGATTTTAAGCAGCGGGCTGAGCCCGGGGAGTACCCCATAACCACCTGCTGGAAGGAATGGCTGGCTGGATGACAAGGAGGAAAGTGGGGTGCAGGTGGCATCACAATGCTCTCCCTCCAATCCCACCCAGAAGTGACCGACGTGGCACGAAAGGGGGACAATCTGCACCTGTGCTAGGAAAACTCAACAGGCCCCAAACTTTAAGATTTCTGTAAAGTATGACAGAAATTAGACCCCGGTGAAGGCCAGGATTTATCCCATTTCAAGAAAAAGCCCACCTGGGAAGCCGCTGGTAGGGTAGATACCAGCACACTCAGTGTATTGGGGTTGGGGGGACGGGGGTCACGGGGAAAATCTCACGCAGGGACACACAGGTCGCGGTCGACATTGGCAGTGGAAGCAGCCACTCCTGCTGTCATCCGGGGACACAGCTAGGAAGAAGACAGCTACGCTGGCGACGGGGTGGGTGCTCACCCATGGCGGCGGGGCCATACGACAGGCGGGAACCACCTGCACAAACTTCAAGCTGCCTCAGTGAATACGGACAGCAGGCTCATAACGCATACGCCACTTCCCTGCTGCATCAATAATTACACCCTTTGGTAGCCACTTCCCCGACAGACAATCGGGTTCCAGTCCAGGCAGACAGGAAACCATAAAACTTCCTTCTCCTGCCATGTCCAGATTCAGACCAATTCTCGCAAAATCTAAGACGTTCGCAGCGACTTCAACTGTGAACACTGGGTATAGACTTCTCTCAGTAACTATGGATGAGAAAAAAACCCCAACAAGATGGACAAGTTCAGTATTCTAGGAAAGCAACAGGACTTCTCTAGGGAATAGGGGAAATGTCCCACTCCTGACTCCACACGAATGAGACTTTCCACCAGACAGACCAGGGCTTGAGAAGTAATTCTTCTTCTTCTCGGGTGACAACAAAATTGAGCAAATGAACACCCGAGGATAAGAAGAACAGAACGAAGTGGAAATAAAAAAAATAAATGCTCAATACCCTCGAGTAAGGGAGGAAATCAAACGGCGACCAGGGCACTCTGGAAACGAGAATACAACTACTGTGCTGTGAACCTGAACTTTAGGGGATGCTAAGTTGTAAGCAAGGGAAAGTCCACAGCTCTACAAGTCAGTCATTTGCACATCGGCAAAAACAGATGTGCACGCGCTAGGTCAATGACAAAAGCAGAAATATTTTACTAGCAGATATAATAGGGGAAGCCACCTAAATGTAAAGATACATTAAGTTCCTGGATAAGAAGACTCAAAATCCTCACTGAAGAGCTTAAGCCTTACTAGTTAATCTGCGATTTTCATGGAAGCACAAAGAAACCCCCAAAGGAGTGATTTCTAGAACTTCCAAAATGCTATCAATTCATTTGAAGATATGTGAGAATAATAGGAATTTTTTTTTTTTTTAAACTGGGCAACTTGTGGGTGGGAGAATGGGTGTTTTTATGAAATTCGCACTCAAAACAGTACAGCAATGATCCTAGAACGGACACATGAAGTAAAAAGAAAAGGAAGAACTGATAAAGATGAATCAAAACAAGGAGGTCAGACCCTGGGCGGGGGCCGGGTGCGCACATATGCGCAGGGAACAGGGCGCCCTCAAACTACCCTGTGGTCATCTCACCCTGTTTCTGGAGGATCCCTTAGCACTGGGGATTCAAAGCTTTAAAAACGACCCCAAGAAGTTCATGCCTAGAAATTTCTGCTAAAAAGTGATCAGACAAGCGAATAAAGAAGTTATGTCTAGTTCTTTGTAACAGCTAGAAATGCACTAACACCTGGGAAATGCTGGAGTAAATGTGGTGGAGCTAGATCACCAAAAAGTGTGTGTCCAGTTTGAAGTGATTTTATCGATGTACGCTTATTAATGTAAAAGGATGTTCAGGGCCCATTAAATAAAAAAGCAGATTGCAAAACAGTATTAAACATGATGGTCCTTAAATACAAAATGAACGTGTATCCGTATATTAAAACCTGAAGGATACAATACAAAGTAATCTTAATTAATTCTAGAAACAGGTGATAGGAGATTTATATTATTTTTATTATTCTGCATAGAACATGTGAATTAATTTTATGTTAATACATATGGGGATGAAAATCCATTCTCTTATTTTTATAATCGGGATAATTTCACAGGTAACAGTTGAAGCGAAACAGCATCAACAATTCACTGAAACTCAGAGAAGGAAGGAATTTGGAGTCACACTGAGTATGTAGTAGAATTAATTCACATAAAGTGCACCTACTTTTTCAATGAGGCATTAACTTTTGGAAACTGTTCATGAGATCTCGTTGCAATTCCAACCAAGATCCAGACTCACTCCAGCGGAGCCCTCTGTCGCTGGTGGGTGTGTTTTGGCTTCTGGCAGGAAGCTGAGGCCTGCGGACAGGGGCCTTCCTTTGTCTCCTGCTCTAGCTCCAAGGCAAACCTCCAGCAGAGGGCAGGAAGGAAAGGAGAGAGGGGAGAATTCTGAATCCAGTTGGTCTCCAGGCTGAGTCGGAGTTTCCGGAGTTCTATTACGATAAACCTTGGGTACCCTGCTCTGACATGGGATCAAAGAAGCTTCTTCTTTTTTTTTTTTAATTTTTTTTTTTCAACGTT